ACACACACACACACACACCACAACACACACACCAGCACACACACTTAAATATTGATATTGATAATTAGTAGTAGATTTGTAGGCTAAAAAAGTATTTTACTTTTTTGAAAATGTTTTGAAGTGAATCAGCTTTCAGTGTACCTGATGGAGGTTTCCTACCTGTGGGGACTAAAATGTCCATCCTCAGCTCCTGTTTGGCTGCTGCTTAGTTCCCAGGGCTGGTAGACTGGGGTGGGCTTTGAGAACGTCCCGGCTGACTGTCCACACTGGAGACCCTGGACAGACTGGAACGCATAGTGGCGTCCGCAAAGGGAGGAGAGGTTCAGATCAGAAGGACAGAAGTGTGATGTTGTGATGTCACTGTGTGCGCTCTCATTGCTCTCATTACCTCTGGAGGGTTTGAAACTGCAGAGGGAATTTGCCCTCGAAGTTTTCCCAGGGTCTCAATCTCTGGCCACTGAGTTTCCTGTGCTCTGCGTTTTTCTCACCTGCGGTTACTGTTCATGGTGTATGTCAGCATACGAGCCTGCCACACAGCAAAGGAGGATCAGGAGAACACTTAACACACGCATGTTAATGCAGTTTTACACAATATATTTGGTGTCTAGTGTGTGTGTGTGTGTGTGTGTGTGTGTGTGTGTGTGTGTGTGTGTGTGTGTGTGTGTGTGTGTGTGTGTGTGTGTGTGTGTAGGCGCAGGTGAGTTTGAAGCTGCTGAACTTAAAGGGGTTGTGCGTGGATTACGTGTGTTTTCTTTTCCTCATATACAAACCGTTGTGTTACCAGAGAATATGTACATCTTCATTTTTTCTGCTTGTCTGTATACAAGAGTTTTAAAGCTTCCAGTATCAAAACACAGTCACGTTTATATGTCATATTTCAATATATAATATATCGTGTTATATTTTTTTTAAAGGAGTATAAAACACAGCTGAAGATGGCGATAGAGGATAGGTAGCGTTTATGACGTCAGGATCTGAGATCTCTTTTACATGGAGTCAAAGTCCTGGTCGTTTGGGTCAACGACCTCGGGGGTCATGACCCTGCCCATGAAGAGGATGGTCCCTGAGGAAGACATATAGAACGTCAGGTCAAAACACACATTCAGTGAATCAGACGCACGTTTACATGCACAGAGACACACAGAGACACACAGAGACACACAGAAACACAAAGAGACACACAGAGACACACAGAGACACACAGAGACACACAGAGACACACAGAGACACACAGACACACACGAACACACAGAGACACACAGAGACACACAAGAGACACACAAGAACACACAGAGACACACAGAAACACACACGCACACACAGACACACAGAGACAAAAAGAGACACATGCGCACACACAGAGACACACGAACAGACAGAGACACACAAACACACACAGAGACACACGCACACACACACAGAGACACACAGAGACAGACGCGCACACACAGAGAGAGACACACACACACACACACACACACACACACACACACACACACACACACACACACACACACACACACACACACACACACACACACACACACACACACACACACCTGTCCTCCGGTTTCTAATGACGAAGAAGAACGGATGATCGGCCATGACCTGCGGGTACAACACCAGAGTCCGGGTGAGGGCGATCATTCCTGAGAGAGAGGGAGGGAGAGGGGGACAAAACACAATCATTATTTATTCATCTATTTATGCATTTATTTATTAATTAATATATTTATTTGTTCATTTATTTATGTATGTATTCATTATTTTAAGGGTTAATTCATTAAGGTATGTATTTATTCATTCATTTTCTTGTAGGAGAGGGAATATTTTTTATTAAATCCAAAATAAAATAAACACACAACGTACAAGAAAACAAAGTAAGTTGAAGCGGAAGGGCAAAAAGCTTATAATAAAAATAAATGAATAACAGCATAAAATAAAAATACCAATGAATCTGATTGAATATATACTTATATGAATAATTATCTTTAGATAAATGTATATAAATGTGTGTGTGCAACAAGTCCTGAGCGGTAACATACCTGATCCAACGGCTCCTTCTGCTCCCTCCTCCGTCACCTCCAGGTACGCCTTCTGCACCGCCTTCCCAATGTGCAGGTCCTTACCATCTGTTACACACACACACACACACACACACACACACACACACACACACACACACACACACACACACACACACACACACACACACACACACACACACACACACACACACACACACACACACACACACACACACACACAGTAAATAACACTCGTCCACTGAGCATCACTTTCTGCAGCTCCATTTAAAAGGAAATCTGGTCCGCTGCGACAGAACATATGATTTGATTTAAAGCAGGCAGCGTGTCCTCTGAGATCATGCAGAGGTGAGGAGGGTTTGAGCGGGGACAGGATGTTCCGACGCGCAGTACAGCCTGCAGACGGAGATTTCACAACATAATTTCAGCTCCACCTGACCAGGAGGAACACGCTGTTCAGCACGAAGCCAAAAGGCTCTGAGAATGTAAGCATTACAGCACCTTATCTAAATATTATGTTTATTTTATTTTCTAAACATATCTTTATTTTACAATTTTACTTCACATTATTATTTTTGAATACAATATTTTTCATTCTATTTTATTTTTAATTGACTTTAACACCCTATGTTTATATTAATATGCTTTTTAAAATATCTTTTATTTCACATTCACGTTTTATACCTATTTTTATTATTTTTTATCTTATATTGGACATTCCACTTTAACTACCTATGTTTATATAAATATCATTATTTAATATTTGATTGCACATTCTTAATTTAAAGGTCACCTATCATGCTATTTTTAGGCAATAGCATAGGTCTCAGATATATAAAAAACATGTCTATGAAGTGTTTTGCTCAAAATACCAAACAGATCACCCATTCTAGCCATGCTTCATATCCCTCTATTTCACTTCCTGTTTCAAAAGTGCTGATTCTGGGTATAAAGCTTTAAAAAAAAAAGAGGGGCCTGAGCTCACGCGGGACCCGGCAGCTACTGTCTAAACTAAATACTGCCGTGATGAAACGCCATATCATGGATTATCAAGGATTGTTTCTGAAACAGTATGGAGCTCAAAGGCTTTCTCTCTTGCCGGTTATACCACAAGGTGAGTTCCTTTTTACTTCCTGCTTCTTCACACACATGCTCTCCAGTACAGGTTAGCTCTGAGTGTTAGCGATGCTAATGTAAACACCGACCATATTACGTCCAAAACAGTCGGGCATTGTTTCTGATAGCAACGTTTCTGATAGGGCCGTGGGTCCACATTTCAGATATTACATCATATCGGACGCAAATCTGGATCAGCTCCGTCGTAGCCCCGTTTTTAGAGATTTGGGTACGGAGGAAAAGAGAGAGGGTTTTATTTTCTGACGCTGCGTGAGTTCCCCGACACACCAGGGACACATCTTTATGTATAAAAGACATAAAAAAGTGCATTTTGCATGATAGGTCCCCTTTAACTGATGTTTATATAAATATATATATATTTTATTTTATATTTATGATATGATTTTTGGACATGGGTCTTATCTTCAGCTAACAATATTTTATTGTATGTTTGACTTATATGTATGTCTTCTTTCTCTTTGCCTCTGTGCATATCCCTCTCTCCGGATCTATTTTTGTCCGATGATGATGTGACAGCTCTGACCTGCCCACTCGCTGCCGGTTACCGTGGTTACCTGAGAAAAGTACCAGAGTTAACTTCACTGCAGCCAAGGAGAAGAAATATGAAATCACCTTCTCACACTGAACCCTGCTCTGTTTCTATATTTGGGAGGTTTATAAAATAACTTAATGGTAAGTCGCACATTTTGCCTCACGCAGAGAGGAGTGTTACCTGTCATGGCGGAGAGATCAGCATCGTTGGTGAAGATGTTTTTTATTCCTAGATCCTGCAGCGTGCTCCTCAGGTCGATCTTCTGCTCCACTTTGAACCTGGGGGAAAGCCATGAGAATTTAAGAAAAACATCAGATGCCACGTGATGATGGTCGGAAGGGGGGGGGGGCTATCGTGCTGGGACCAGATATTTTATGAGAGGGGCACTGACACAGTGCTCAGAATTTCACTATTCTCGGTTAGGATTAGAGTCATTGCACACAAACAATCCTCATAAAATAACATGATAGGTATTTGTTTTAGTAGAGTTTGTGTCATTTTTTTATTAAAGGGACCCTTTTATGCTCATTTTCAGGTTCATATTTGTACTTATTTCCTCGACTGTGACATGTTTACAAGTGCCTAAAAGGATTATTTATTAAAAGTATGTTGCTAAATAGCTTACACCAAGAAATGTTGACTAAATAATGAGAGCTCCTGGAGAAAGGTACCATGAGTAGATGAGTTGGCAAAGTCAAATGTTGTTATTGTTATGTTTTATCGATTTAAAGCAAAGGATTTTAAAAATGTCCCCCTCAGGAACTATAAAGAATCCTTCTATTTGAAAATGTAGCTAACCACTAATGGACGCACAAGTAACCAAGGCATGTCGAGGGGAATTAGGTACACAAAACAGAAGATGTTGTAGAGCAGGTATTCCTCTCTCACCTGGGCATGTAGACCTCCACCTTCTGCCGCTTGACGTTGTTGGCCCACTCCTCCAGCAGCGCTGCTTTGAAGATGGGCTCCAGCGAGGCCAGAGGCACTTCCTGCCGCGGCAGAACGATCAACATGGACATGTCCTCGCCCTCGTACGGCATCTCCAGCACCTGGTACACACCGCCAGCCTCCTGGGAGCCGTCGCTGAACTCACCTGGAGACAAACACAATGCAGGTATAAGTACACACACACACACACACACACACACACACACACACACACACACACACACACACACACACACCTCCTCCCTACCGTAGTAGAAGTCTCCCTGCTGGTACATCATGAGCGTCTGGACCTCGGAGCCGTCGTCTCGGCTGAAGGAGAAGGTCCTGGTGTTTTCTGGCCTGAACTGGTTTTTCCAGGAGCCCCTGAAGTAGACGGCGTTCACCAGCGTCAGGCGGGTCACGCTGCTGAAGTCATCGGCTGAGAAAAGATCATGGATCTTACCTGGAGAGAGGGGGGGGGTTGTACAGGATCTAGATTAGTTTACATAGTCCTGAGAGCACCTGCTGGATGCAGCCTTTGAAGTTATAATACCACAGTGAAGAAAACCTCTGTTACAAGTAAAAGTCCTTAAATTCAAAATCTTACTTCAGTAAAATCAAATATACTTGAAGTACCAAAAAAAAAAAATACTCATTATGCAGAATGGCCAATTATGAACAAATGTATATTTGATCACTGGGTTATAATTATTGATCCATTGATCCTGTTAAACTGGCTTTCAATTGAATTTCAATTATTCTTATTCCATTCTTCCATTATTATTTTATTCTTATTTCATTTTTTATTTATTATTGAAATGTTGTTTGTTCGGTCCTCTGCTCTTATCAAGTTTCCTCATTAATCACAAAGCTATATGTTACTGTGTGTTAGTATTGTTTTTGCTTTGTGAACCACTTTCTGTTACCGTTGTGTATGAAAAGTGCCCTAAAAGTTTGATTTGATGTAATTAATGTGATCATGGTATCATTTTAATTTTGCAGCTGGTAAAATAGGAGCTAACTTGAATGACTTTTTAAACTGCCATGTATTCATTACAATTGTTTTGGTAGAAGATGATGCGATCAAACAATCAGATGCAGGTCCTTTAGATGAGATTGTGAGCGTCTCTCTAACTCACTCTCGGTGTGATTCTCCACCCAGGTGTTGATTTGATCGGCCACGGCAGCTGATTCGCTGAAGTCCACGGTCTCCACGTCAGCCTGGAAGTACTTCTTCATCAGATGCAGGAACTCGGGGTTGAAGGTGATGCCTTCCTGCAGGAGGAGGCTGTTGGCGAACCGGATCACGTAGTGGGCGTTGTCTTCAGACAGCGCCGCCGTCAGGTTCTGCAGCAAAGAGAACTCCACGCCTAAAGGACAGAGAGACACGTCCATAATGTAGCTGTGTGTCCAGAGGACAGTGATCCGACAAAGATGTGCTTTTTAGTTCAACAATGCTACAGCAATTGGAACAGAGACCCCACCCCAGTAGAACTAACACACATTTTGTACATTTAGCTTCTTCATGGTTAAATGCACTCAGTGCCTGTTCTTGACCATATTTTCTTGGGTGCACATCAAATGCTGCACACAAACAAGAGACAGTGTTTATCATTTTTAGGTTAGTATAACGATGTAGACAACAAAATAATTAGATTGTAATTTGTGTCTCTAACTCAGTTAACATGGTATGACATCATTAAAAACAAAACACAAAGTATTTGAATAAAAACTGAATCATCACAGACTCTTCCTTTGGAGGGGGACCACAGGTGGGTCCAAGCCCAGTGTAATAGGGGCACTGGTCCCAGCTGCACTGCACTGCACCCCCCCCCCCCCTTGGAAACCGGTCATGCAGCTAAATGAAATGTGATGTTATGAAATCGTATTCAACTCCTCTTCCTTCCCCCACCGATAGCCCTAATGTGTGTTTGCGGCTGTGGCTCCGGTTAAAGCAGTCTTTAAATAAAATCATAAACAATATTATTATTGACTCTTATTTTGCAGGGGGGGAAACAGGAGGGGGTCCAAGCTTAGTGTTACAGGGGCACTGGAAAGCACCCGGAACCACCCATGCAGCTGAATGAAATGTAATTAAATCATTTATTAAACTCCCCTTCCTTAACCCACCTGTAACACTAATGCTGTTGAACTTGTGTTTGTCTCTCACCTGGCAGCAGATGACTGAAGCCCACCGCCTGGCGGATCTCCTCCAGCGAGGCCCCCCGGGCCCCCAGCTCCACCATGCCTAGGGCCAGAGCCACGCTGAGCGGGGAGAAGACGATGTTGTCCTGGTCCCCGGCCGCCTGCAGCCGGTGGTACAGTCTGACTGAGAACTCTGCTGTCGTGTCCTCCGGAATGTCCGCCGCCCGGCAACTGTAGCGCGGCAACAGGAAGAGGAGGAGTAGGAGGAGCGGGGAGAACACGTCCAGGATCAACATCGCAGCACGGACTACAGACAGCTGGAGGGGGAGAGAGGAAGAGATGAGGGATTTAATGTGATGTGTAAAAAATATGAGGTGTGAAGGAGGCAAAAAAAAAGAAGAAAGGTGGGGAGGAAGGAATGGAGAGAAAAGGGGGAGGATTGCAAAACAGGAGGGAGGGGTTGAGAAAGATAAAGGTATAGAAGATTACTGCGTATGGGAGAAAAAGAGATGAAGGTCAAGAGGATTTTGAAAGTAGAGAGGGTCGGGTTGTGGAGGCAGGAAACATCTGTCATCTGACATTCTGCCAATTTAAAGAGGGCATACGATGCTTATTTTCAGGGTCATATATTAGTATGTTGTGCCTCTACTGTGTCTCCAGGCTTTAATGTGCAAAAAGCTATGTTTCACCCTCTGTCTGAAACCAGAGCCCAGTCTGCTCTGATTGGTTAGCTGGCTGGCTCTGCTGTGATTGGTCAACGGCTTAGAAAATGTTCCACCCCTTAGCGTACTAATGTGTTGTGAGCGCTGGCCAATAGAAGTGTGAGTGTTACATAGTGATGTCACTTTGTTACAGAGCTTTGGGATTGTAGCCTCTGCAGACCATTTAAATCACAAAAACCTATATAACACACTAAAGGAAAGGGAATACCCCAACAAGACATATAGAGTCTCTCTAAGATGCCCAAACAAACATGTATCGTATAACAGAGAAATATTGAAAGGGAGAGAAACATATCCGCAATACAGGCTGGAATAACACATTTCTTTTGTTGTTTGTCTCTGTGCTGGGCTGTTGGCATTATGCAGTGTGTATTATGGGCTGGAATCTGCTGGCGGCTGCTGTGTGTGTGTGTGTGTGTGTGTGTGTGTGTGTGTGTGTGTGTGTGTGTGTGTGTGTGTGTGTGTGTGTGTGTGTGTGTGTGGGGGGCGTCAGGTGACACAATGTACCTGAGAGTCAACAACAATAGGCGGCAGATACAGAAGCAGAGCCCCATCCTGTTGTCCTTTTCCTCTGCTGTGCCCTGGGATTGGCACAAAGAGCAATGTTCCCTTTCAAAATAAAAGCGCTACAGCCTCGGGGACGCATAAATGTCACGCCCTACAGGATTAGTCCGGTGATATTTCTTCTTATTGTAATTGTATTCTATGAAAGACCAAAACCAAGGATGAATTGATCCTGGTGTTCTGTGTCTGATGGAGCAAAAGCGTATTCCTCTGTGGCCGTTGTCGTGCGAAAACTATGAATATATCAGAGCCACACTGTTGGGTGTAATGTTGCCATGTCGACGTGCATTCTTTTGATTCCATCCAACACCTCCCACCTGTTTCAAATCGTCACTAGATTACATTACATGTTACTTGTTAAACGCATTTATCCAAAGCGACTTACATACTCAATACTGTGGGCAATCCCCACAGGAGCAATTTGGGGTGAAGTGTCTCAGGGACACAACGACATACTGACTGCAGTGGGACTCGAACTTGCTATCCTCTGATTCGAAGATCAGCGTACTAACCACTGGTGGTCCGTGAGCGCTCCCTAGTGGTCCGTGAGTATATTGGTAACATTTCACATTTGAAATAAATAAATAAATTTAAGTTTTCTGCACTCTCGCGGGAATATCTCCGCAATGGAGCGAGGTTACGTTTCACTTTCAATTGCATGATATAGCCCAGCGCAACACCTTCGTCACACATGTTGCCACTTGTTTGTACAATGTTCAGGCGATTTCTAATCTGTTCTAGAAAAACGATGTGTTTTTGATATTTGTGGAGTTAGGTGGTCCGCGAGTGTTTTTTTATTGGTTAAGTGGTCCTTGGTATGAAAAAGTTTGAGAAACACTGCACTAGAGCAATCTGTTGCTGAAAATAGTCTCCCACAAACTCACTGTTTCTGAGGATGTCCATGTTTGATAAACTCCTCCGGCCTCTGAAGCATGCCGTCTCAAGGTGTTAGGTTTAAATGGCAGAAAGGATTAACGGTGAACTTGCGTGACGTCACATTTAAATGGTGGAAATGTCAACTGCCGATCTATTCTGTCTGAGAATTAGGATTACACCGAGAGATTAGAGGGGTTTGCTTTTTAAAGGCCAGTGAGTTTAATTGCACGGAATGAATCAAGTCTTCAGGATTTGCAACTCGAACCAGGAGACGGTTCTCTTTTTTTAAGTCACGAGAGAACATTTTACAGCTGGACGTTGGGTTTCCCCTCGGTCAAAGTTGGGCTGCTATTCATCAATGGCCAATCTGACAACGTGCCACAACTCAAAAGGTCAGAATGGTGTCACTGTTACACGTAATAGCCAGCCACCCTTGATGTTATTATCCACTCTCACACAGGTTCACACACAACGATGCTCCACACACCACTTTCCCTGGCGTTGCTGCATGGCTGGCTCCTTCCCGTACAGAAAGCAGCGCTGTCTGTCTCACAAAAGTTCAGCTCCCACAGCTCAGAAGGTCAGGAACATTACCTCCATTTACATCTGTGCCAGCCGCCTTTCTTCTTACTCTCTCTGGGTCTCTTTGCCTTCAGTGACGCACAACATGTGAGAACATGGTGAACAAACGTGACTAACACTTTATTAACAGCAGTACACAAGAATGTGCCTTCAGGTGTCATTTGATTTTTCTGTTAACGTCTATTTAAAGTGCAAAGTGAATGCATCAAGGCTTTCACGACAATTGATGCGCCTCAAATCAGAATCAGGGTTATTGCCAAGTAACATCGCACACACCAGGAATTAGCTTTGGTGTAGATGGTGCTTATAAACACAGGATGACGAATTAAAGAGGCCCTAATATGTTTTGGGGGGTTTTCCCTCTCCTGAAGTGTAGGGTGAAAAGAGGTGCTGCAGCACGGGCAGTATGAGAAAAATAAAGACCTTTTTGAAAATTAAAGCATGGAGACGGGTCCCAGTAGAGACACTACATACTAATATAAACCTGAAAATTAACATAATTATGTTGTCTTTAAATACTGTTGCAAAATTAAATATATAACGGGTGGTTTGAGGAGAGACATTTTACAAAACAATAAAACTGTCAAGGATTAATATCAATTTAGATTTAAGGAAACAAGGTCAGGGAAGAGATAAGAAGGGTAAAAACTAGGGATGTAACGATATATCGAATATCGCGGTAAATAAATGTTTCAATACCGTCGTGAGACTGACAAAATCTACCGCAATTAAAAAAAAAAAATTAAAAAAACTTTAAAAAAAAAATACCTTTATTTAACCAGATGTTCCCATTGGTATAATCGATAAAAAAAATTATAAAATAAAAAATTCACATTTTTTCCCTTTATTTTTCAATATCGCGATATTCTCGTACCGTGAGTTTTTGGTATTGTTACATCCCTAGTAAAAACACTTGTGTACAAGTAAAACTGTATACAGTAAACAAGTATATTGTGACATCCTTGCGTGCGCACACACACACACACACACACACACACACACACACACACACACACACACACACACACACACACACACACACACACACACACACACACTTTACACGCCGAGGCAACCAGAGCATCTGCAAGTGATGGACATTTTTCGTTTTGCCAAGCTGACAGACATATTTCTTCCTCTTTAAAGATATCTTCCTCCTTCCACAGAGGCAGATAAAGTCTCTTTCCTCTTTGCACTCACGACTCAGCATTTTCTGTCTAACCCCTCTCTCGGCAAGAACTCTTTAAACTAGCTCCAGTTCTGTCACTCAATGCTCTCGCTGACATCGCCAACAACACACACACACTCCCAGAGTTCCCTCTGTAGTTTGGCAGAAACAAGGCAAGCTCCAGTCCCGGAGCACTATCCTCCTTCTTTAACCCACTTCCTGCTCCTGCTCAAATCACAGCACCTTGGTTCATATCACAGGCTCTCAGTACACTTCCAAACTCATCTGCACTTTGACGAATTCTGTGAAGAATGCTAACGTCTCCGTCCCTCTGGGAATAAACTGCAGAGAGAAGCGATTATCTCTTGCCCCGAAAAACTTTGAATTTCTAAGATGGACACTCGGTTATAAATGTCAGAGTAATCCCGCACGATTTCACCGTGAGGATGTATAACTTATAAAGGGGCTTTGAACGGCTGAGATGAAGACAATTTGATTATTATGTACGAATCGTCCTTGGAGAAGACACTTCCTACATGTTGTTCTGGGCTTGATAGAAGTGTATAGGTTCATGAACATTCCCACTAAAAATGAATATAAACCTACACGTGTCACACTTTCCCCAGTTTGAATAACCACGGTCCCTCTCCTATTGATCGCCCGCTGATAAAGGAACTCCTTTGTTGGAGCAGAGGATTCACACAGAGAGTCTGCAGTGAAGACCACCAGTGGGTTGAGCCTTTAAAGAGGCCCTGTTGTTCTTTTTTGGGGGGGGTTTCCCTTTCCTGTCTAGGTTTGTTTGTGTGCATGTAAATGGTCTGCAAAGGCTAAAATCCCCAAACACACATGATCCCAAACACAAAGGATCCCTCAAATAGAGTTTGCAGATCAACTTCTACATTTTCATTCGGATATTTTCACATATTTTGCTCATTAACAAATATTTCGGTACTGCGATTTGGATAATGCACTAGTCGATATTGCTTTGATTGATTGTTCAAACATAGACTGTATTTGAGCACATATATTCACAACACACTCATCTTCATTGTTAAGGTAACAAACAATGTGATACGTCTATCTGTGTTACTATTTCTAATGGAAGAAACAATACACTACAGGATTCATTTTGTCCTCAAATCAAGAAAACACATCACAAGTTTAGGATGACTATTCATCTTTTTTTAAAGGAAATTATAAATATTATTAAAAAAGATAAAAAAGAAAACAGTCATTAAAAAAAGGTAAGTTGATTGCCACTTCCATTTTGTAGAGGTTACAGTATTGTACACCGTGCATGTTCATCATTTAAAACAAAAGGCTTTAAGATTTAACTTCAAAAGCAGCATGCAACAGCTCCCCCAAAGCAACCATTGCTGCCCCCATATTCACAGGTATTTCATTT